TGAATAACTCATGTGCGCCTAGAGAGCCGTTCTTCTTACTCTGTGTTTGTCACCGCAGAGCGTATACATGGCAAAACACCAATCTCACAGTCGCCACCTGGCCATTTCTGGGCAGTGGGTGATTCTTTGAGGGCAGTTCCATTCTCCCACCATGTCCCTTTTTCCTTTTTTTAAAAAATCACCAGTATAAAAGGGTCGCCACCCCAAGCTTACCCCTTAAGCTTTTAAGTTTCTCTTGTCAGCTCCACCCAGAATAGTTTTTCACGGAGCCTAACACTCAAGGCTGACCCTTACCACTCCATACCCTACGCTCCTGTGGCTTTAAGACGACCTTAGGAGAGATTTTTATTCCTTTTAAAAATCCGGTGTAAGGTTAAAGATTACCTTAAAGTGCAAGAGTGCTCAGCCTAGCCATTTTAACAAATATACTTTGGGGTGGGGGTGGGGATAATAAAAATCCCAGCACAATTCGTGCCTGTTCACACATCCATCTACATGAGAGTCAACATCTGGCTTTGAAACTGACCTCTTTTCAGGGCTCCCATCCTGAGTCGATGTCCCCTGGTCTAGACATTCTTTTATAGCAGTCATAGTTCCAAGTCTTCCAGTAAATGGAATACTTTTATTTAGCCCATAGGTTCCCAAATGTATTTGACCTTATACCCTCTTGTCAGAAGGAAAATTACTCAGAGCCTCCCTGGCAATGAACAATTTCTGTGCTCCAGCCCCCAATTCAGGATAAAGTATCTGCGTTTGCAGCCCTCCCCAGTCTGTCCAGCATGCCACCGACCCCAGGGTGCTCATCTCCCACTTGGGTGAGACTGGTTTAGGCAGCTTCCTACACTGACTGCTTCAGATTGTTGCTACCTTTTTATTATCAGCAGTGCAATGACTGGTTAATAAATGTGTGCACATTCCCAAGCACATACCCCTTGAAGCAACGTTAAGAACTCCTATGCCTGTGAGGAAATCACCTTTCTGCAAGGGTCACACCTGTATTTCTGGTTGGTGGTGGATGCCAGGGAGTAAGCGCCCAGCCACAGTGAGCCCAGGCATGGCGGAGTGAGACAGTGGTCACGGCATAGCTGAGTCCAGGTAGCAGTGTCCCTTGAGCCCCCTCCAGCCCACAGGGCTCGTCTGCCGCGCCTCACTGCGCAGCCAGGCTTTCATGGAATGATATTCCCATGGTCACCAGGCCTTTCTCCTTAGCACGCTGTCTCCCTCGGAAGCACGCTGACAGCGGTTTTAGGCAGCAGAACACAGATGTCCTGGCCTCAGCCAGCACTTAGGTTGTCCACTCACTTCCTTATAGCAACATTGTTTCATTATTTGGTGGTTAATGTGTATCGAATACACGGTGGAAAATGCCCTTGGGAGAAATCCTAGCCACTGCAGTTTGCTTCTCGGACCATGACCTTCTCGTTGCTGTGCTCTGCAGACCACCTGGGGGCCCTCTCACTGGACATCACAGTAAAGCGAGACAACTGCTTACCCTGTGGATGCTCCAGACGCCCATTACTGGCACTTGGCCAAGTTCTGGATGCTTTCTAGACCCGAAACCCCAAAACAAAGCAAAAAACAGCCTCAAGTCAGCACCAACCGGTGGTGACCCCGTGGGTGAGGTAGAGAACTGCTCCTTCAAAAGCTCATGTTTTAAAAATAATTTTACTGCCCCATAGTCCACATATCATACAATTCAACAGTTCGGTCGTATTAAAGAGTCGTACACTCATCTCCACAGTCAGCCTGAGAACATAGACTTCCTT